ACGAGGAGAGGCTGACTCCGATATCAACGAAGTCGGTTACGCTACGTCATTCTTCACGCAAGTATGTTGATAATTTAATCGATTATCCATGATTCAATATCCACAATTATTACGACTGAATATTCACGAATATCATGACTGAATATCCACGAATATCCACGAATATCATGACTGAATATCCACGAATATCATGACTGAATATCCACGATTATCCACTATACTGAATATCCACGATTATCCACTATACTGAATATCCACGATTATCCACTATACTGAATATCCACGATTATCCACGACTGAATACTTATTTCTGTTATAAACGCCTTTGAATTATAAGTAAAATTTTAAATCTTTCATAATATTATCCACGATTATTAAGTGCTGTAAATGCCGCTTGATAATCTTTCCCGGTGATGTAAACCTTGTGAACAGCGGTTCCATAAAACGTTGAGTACTGAAAATCGTGCTTCCAATACCCATATCGCGAAATGCATTGTTGTAACGTCATTGTCACGAAACCTTACAATTGTTAAGTTACGTATTACGTATTGGTAACGTTATGYATTACCCCTTTAAAATATTTGCACTGTATACTATTAGAGTGACTATATACGCATGTTGAAAAGTAATAGTCAACTTTAGATATTCTGGTTGAGTAAACTTTACGAAAGAACAGCAGACGACGCTCCGGGGAAACAGTTGATAAGCGTAATGTGTTCTTTTATTTCCCTGGAGCCTTGTCTACAATTCTTACACGGTTACTTAATTAATAAAATATCTTAAGTTGGCTATCTATTTTAAACTTTCAATTTTAATGCTACTTAGTTGGAGCACAAAACAGTAACGTGTTCGAATTGCACTTTGCAGAATTTAGTACTCTMCGCGTTCTTTGTAATAGCTGTAAACCCTCGTCCCATGTTATGTTCTTGTCSCAGTAAGATTTTATATGATTTTTCATTCCCTGRAAAAACAGTGAACAGTCCAAAAACGCTACAAAAACGCATCACCGGGAATRCAACCTAAAATATTTTTTACATAGTTTATAATGCTTTCAAAACGTTTGACAATTTTTTCAATAGCTTTATTACGTTTCTGGACGCGCCTTCAAGAATCTTCTACGAAACCCTCAGACTTCGATCATGCAAGTAAGTCTTGCCCTGTACTATATGAACTATGAACTATGAAGGGCCGGAATGATGTCTAGCTCACGCAATACTAGAATATTTTTGGGGATTCGTATTTGAAGGGTATTTCAGCACTTTTCTTGATACTTTTAATCCTTGGGTTCAATTTCCAGACAATGTGATTATGTGATATGGTCTTAGGCATGACACATAATTCATTCGGTAAAGGTGCAATTCTCCAGTAGCGAGTTTTTTMCCTGTCATGTCCTTGTATTTATTCAATTTTTATTTATCCCTTACTATTATACTTCTCTCCATATCTCTCTTATTATTTAGGCATACATTTTTTTGTCGTACTTTTCATGCATATAGCTAAAAAGGCTTTGGGAACTGTTTGCAATTATTGACATTATGTACACGATATRTAAGGTTCAATTAAATCACAAAATGTTCATATCTATACATATAGCCCATTATACAAGGGCGACTCTTTGCTTAAGGATGTGGATTATCGTTGTATCGTTTAAAGTTATAAAGCTACCCTCCGTTTTAGGATAAAGTGATTATCAGTCAACATTTAGCCATTGTGGCCATTTCCCATCTGCCATATGATCTGATCTCGTTGTAATAGAATGTTTTATTTTTTCCGAGGTCATCCACCCCTTTTTCAGTGTCGCCCCCATTTATTCTAGTTAACTCTTGCTAAATAGTTTGRCTATAAACATCGTAAAGCTATTCGCTTAACGCCTGGAGTTAAACTTATCGTAGCTCGGGTCATTGGGAATTTCGTTGACCACTTTTATAAACTCCTCCATTTGACCGACTCTGTATAAGTGTTTATCTGTAGATGTTGCAACCATTGCCAGCTCGTTAATTCCTTCTATGCGCTGACCGACAGCCATGACGAAAACTTCAACTCCCATATCCTTCAACAAATACGCCAGATACAGAGTGTTTTGTTTTTTGATATTCGACTGTCCGTCAGACAAAATGAAGATTCGTTTGCTAGCATATCCCCTCGCGCCAGAYTTTTTGCTTGCGAATAGTCTACCAGCTTTTCGTAAAGCGGCCTGTGTATTCGTAAAGCCGCTATGATATCGAATACCAGCGAGGTTTTTTACTGCTTTCTGAGGCGAGACAAACTTGAACATAACTTTTGCTTTGGTCGAAAACAATATGGCGGCAAATTTGGTGTTCGGCCGAAACTTGGTAACAAGGTTTTGTAAAGCTCGTATTCCCCGTGTAAAGTTTGCCTCTGGTACTGACTTTGACGAATCGATGATGAAGAGGACGTCTTCTGGTCTTTTAATGGAGCGCTTAACCAAACGAAATGAGGGACGCTCAAACAGGAATAGCTCCATCTTCTTCGCCGTTTCTTCAGATGGTGGAATTATTTGAAGTCCTTAAAAATAAATAGAATACGAATTTSATTGAGGGATTTTTATATAAGATTATAACCATTTTTTYAACSTGCTACGRTGGGAAAATATCGATCTCGGGTGCATTCGTGGAAGTATGAAAAACGAGGAACTGGAAAAACGTTTTCCATGATGTCATTTTGAAAACTACGAGATATCTTAGAAAGTCATAATTCATATCTTCAATTCAAGTATACATTTGACTTAAAATGAATATAATTTTGTCGTAAACTAAAACCACACCCATTTTCCCCCCTTTGTGTAAATAATATGTTCAAGATCAGTCTCATGCCAAACCAGTTGAATACCAGAGACAATATCAAGACTAGTGATTCCCCTTCACGATTCAGCTAATTGTAAGCATATTTTTGTTTTAACAAGAATCTTTTCAAACGCCTTTTTTATTGGCAAACTGTTTTCGTATCGACAAAATGWTATTCTTTATTTTGGTCTTTGTAGGCTGTTGTTTTTTAAAGTGGACAGCCTTTTTCAAATTTAATGTATGATACATGTAACATTGTTATTATTTCATTTGTATTATTGCTTTATCAATCGTCATCTTTCTGACATTACGTGATGTTATGTCCAGTTTTCTAATGACGTTTTAATGAACTGCCAAAAATGTGATGACAAAGTTTCAATTCATCTCCAGCTCAAACAACACAGGTCATTTAATCTTTCCTCGGTTGAATAAATTTTTAAGATCAATATCTCATACAGTCTACTAAAACGTAAACGTCTGCAAGTATTTAACCCTGTGACTAAATGTACATACGTCGCGTACTTTCTTGGCAAACAATCAAGAAAATATATTCGTTATAAACTGCTTAGTTTTTATGATCTTATAATGATTGAAACTGTTTATGGTTGTAATGTCAATACCCATCGGCAAACACCCACTTGAGATGCATACACTGTGGACTTGCCCTGKGTGGCCGTACGATTTAATTCTGGAACTTTCCTCAGACGTTTATAGAAAATGGCTYTACACAAAGAAAGCCATTGTTGTATGTTTTTTTGAGTTGGACATTTGCTTGCAAGACATTATTGGAACATTGATATATGATTACTTAGTAGACGAGTTGCCGGATAAGAACCTCGGCTCATGTCACTTCAAAAGAAACCTCGGGTATGAAATTCTACAAGAAATTGCGATTTTCCAAACCTCGGATTAACTTATGGCGATCCCCTTGTAACAATCTTCGTAAGATTTTACGATTTTGATAGCTCTAACGACAACCGACCATCAAAAACATATTATGCACAGTATGTAATGATATGTAATAGAATTATGTACCCATTTTTACAATTTAGCTCCAAAGTCAATTAACTTTATGAATACATAGTTGCATGAAATTGTTGGCTAACAGTTAAGGTTTGCGCAGGACTTTCCTAACCCGAACTTGTCTCTACAACTACTAGGATTAATTATCAGTATGCTGCGATTATAAAAACGAACTTACGTTCTGTTGCCTTGTCTTTGGTCTCCCAGAAAACTCCCGCCATTGCTTCTTCAGCCACCACCAAGAGCGTTATTAACCAAAATACTTTCATCGCAGCCATARTGGAAATTCAGTGAAGCTTTCTTKGTGGATCGCTTTAACGTTTKCGCTTGWTCTGTAAAAACGAGATTCGCATCTCCTWTTTGACTGTGAAAGTTACTATGACAACTCTACTAGTGACGTGTAAATGTCAGGGGGTCACGAGGTCRTGATGTGGAATTACGAATCTTCTTTCGCAAATCTGCATTTTTTGAATAGCACTTTGAAAGGGTTAAGTTGTTATTCGTGCTTCGGATGTGCAAAAGCCAAAATGATATGAAACGCCACACCATTTAGCAGATCTTATCAGTTTCCTTTTTATAAACCATTTTTAATTCACTGATAAAAAGCTGATTGTGAAATACTTTMAAACATTGTTGCAATTGGTGGAAACTAGCGGTAAACTAGTGTGAGCTGCATCGGTGTTTTTAAGAGAAACAGTTGTGTAAAAAGATAAATTGAACATCCAAAAAAAGTAGGTCTTTACTCCGACAAAGGATTAACGTCCGAAACGCCAGTAAGTTGTTTCACCTACTTTTTTACGGTTTTGAATTCATCTTTTTAAACCTGCGATTGCTGATTACGTAACTAAGGTCAGGTTTGCTTGGAATGCAGAATTTCATTATCAAATGATTCTAGTATATTCTATCTGCTTATTGGACTTCTTAGATATCTTTCATTGGTTACTTGTATCAGATTATTTTTAGCTCAGGTCTTTTGATGAGACGTGTGTTGTCAGGGTGAAAGGATCGATTGTTCGTCCGCCCTAATATCCCCAGGTCCCTTAACCTATGGATTTCACCATGTTTGCCAATAGCCGATTTGCGAATTTCGCCTCACAAGCCTAGCGTAAAAGAATCGAGAMGAGGCGCCGTGCGTAAATCTCAGTTGATCGTGAAAAACTATTTTCTGTTTACGAATGACTGAGTTTTATTCACAGCCCCTCGTCTTGATTCCTATGTGTGTGAACCACTGTAGCAAAATTCGTCGCGACGACGTTCATGGACGAACATTCGAATACAATTTAATTATTACTAATACGGTCGCCATTTTGAATTATATCAAAAATTATAGGGTGTTCCTGGACAAAAGTACAATTCATTYTATACATAGAATTATAAAGAAAAATCCCCTTCTCGAATGAAGATCGATCTATATGCTTTCAAATATGATTGCTTCAAAAGCTTCCCAATGTTTCTCAAAGCTATCCCTGCAGTCATAAATTGGAATTTAATATGGGAATTGTGTTTAAACAAAAATAAAAGAAAAATGATTGTCTGGAGGCAGCATTATTTAGCGAAAAAAAAACTAAAAAAGGGTGTGGTGGATGTGTCTCGGTAGTGAGAGTTGGCTTATTCCCATTTGATTCTCTTGATATCTTTGATGTTGGATGTCMTGACACTTGCTACGTGAAGTGCTTCAAAAACGGAAACCGAGGGGTGCATTCATGGATAAGRTTGAATTTAAAGTTTTAAAACTGCGCATGGGTACATGATTAAACATGCAATATAAACCAGCAGAACGGATATTTGACGGGCTATATAAAGCATATTTGATGAGATCTGTCCAATATCAAAATAGGTCACCATTAAATGAACTATGAATGTTTTACATATTGCCAAAAATCATTGGAAATGACTAGAAAACTAATAGTAGGCATGTGTTTTCAGTTTATCATCACAGTCGTGTTTGGATGCATTGTTGGAGCGATTTACTTCRACCTAAAGAAAGATCAAGATGGTCTTCAGAATAGGTAAGGACTTCATAGAACAATCTCGCATAGCGTGTCCTCATATGATAATAAAAATGACACCAATGTTTGGTCTTGTACAATAAAAAGAGCCTTTTACATCCAGTAAAGGGGACACACTTGCAGCATTTTCTTTTGTTTTGTTTGTTTTTATTTCTAGAATGGTTGTTTTTGTACTTCCACTTTTGACTCATTCAAATTTGCCACGCCCAGGAAAAATAACGCTAACGCTAACAATAACGAATAACGCTCGTTATTCGTTATTTCTATTGCTACAATTGAAATCAGTTTAATGTAGCTTCACATTTCACTAGTAATTTTGGCGTTATTCATCAGGGTKGGCGCGTTTTTCTTCATCGTCATGAATATGGTATTCGGGAATCTGTCAGCAGTGGAGCTCTTCATCAAAGAGCGTAAGATATTCTTGTAAGTGAATAAAACTACTTTGATTTGCGATGTTTGTTTACCTATGTCCAAAGGGTGGTCAGAGAGTGCGAGGAGTGAAAATTGGGGATAAATTGAATGGGTTACTACTACGACGGTACATATATATATATTGGAAACGTGACAATTAAACGTTTTGCTAGGAAGTCATCCACACTCGAGAAATTTTGGTTCAAAGGATAAAATAACAATAGAGTTAAGTCGAGAGCTTCATCGGCTGTAAAAATCTATGCCATATATAAATATTTGAGAATATTTATCAGAATGAAAGAAATAATAAACTTGTCGCTTAACAATTAATTATGAATAGTCTACTCAAATTTGAACAATGAGGCAATTTTCAAAGAAGCCCTTGGAGGTGTGGGGTGAATATTGAGGAAGGGATTCCTATCTGTGCCTGAGGCAGTAGTTATTTTGACTAATTTGATGCGTTTAAAATTAGTAAATGTGTACTCGATTAAACTTCATTAATAACTGAGATTGAATATCTGATAATGGAACCTCACAGTTATTTTGAAATTCTAAACCATTTCTCTGATGACATTTCAAATCATTTATCTAATCATTTCRTCCCTTAGACACGAATCAGCTGGAGGATATTACCGTGTGTCCGTATATTTTCTGGCTAAAGTTTTGTGCGATCTCATTCCAATGAGACTAGTGCCAATTACAGGCTTCTCTGCGATAGTGTACTTCATGATAGGTAAGAATGCTTTTGAAKTCGGGTTTTATAAAAGGCGGTGTTGGCATGTATAGTTTCAATTATCTGGATCAAAGTCAGTCTGATTACTCTGTGCCCCCTTGGAAAGAACTAGAACAAGCTTCTATGTATATTTTTAGCTTTTTTCGGGTTCACTGAACAAATATATCTTTTCCGGTTTTGTTCTTTCCAAACTATCTACAAGTCTACCCAGAATCATTTTAAATCCAATTTCTTGTTTCTTTTTCAGGTTTTCAAAGAACYGTCGAAAAGTTCTTCATCTTTGCTCTTACTTTAGTTCTGACGTCACTTTGCGCATGCGGATTGTCGTTCTTCGTTAGTGCTTCTGTTACGACGTTTGCTAATGCAAACCTTCTAATCGCTCTGCCATATGTCTTTATGATGGTATGTTTTAATTTTAACGACCTTAAGATTTGCCTACGAAACTAGTTCGCGTACGAGTTTTGAACTGATAAGGCATTTTTTAAACTTCTACTCACATGCGATGATGAAATTCGTAATCCTAATGTGAAGATCACGAATGCAACTGCAAGTTTTGATTGAGAGCTTCAACCAGCTGTTTAACTCCTCAATGAAAAATGTTAATAGAATTTTCAGGAATTGAAGTCGACTCATCCTTTCAGTTCAAAGGTTTCTTAATTTTAGTTCTTTGTTCACACATTTTTTTTTCTTTTAATTATTTTTTCCATTTTTTTAAAGAAACTATGAAACTATGAGCTAAACAGATAAGTTGACGGAATAAACCTCGATCGAATTCGAATGTTATCTTACTGAATGACGGACCCCTCAAGACTAGATTGTCGCATTGAATAGGATCAGATCTTCCCATTTCTTGCTCAACTCCATTCTATTGATATGAGGAACCGATGATGTAAAATTAGAGGAAGATGTATTATAGCCATCCTATATTCGAGTTTATCTGTTCGCAGGTATTTAGTGGTGTATTAGTGAACCTTGGTTCAGTTGGCAAATGGTTGTCATGGGTTAAGTACATCAGTATATTTAGATATGCTATTGAGGTAATTATCTTGAATGGCTCGTCTTTAATCGCCGGTCTTTTCCCCGATATCTTTTCTACATTATTTTGTATTTAGAGCGGATTTCGTATGAGTTGGAAACGGACGATACTGTACTGTGACCGTAATCGTACTGTAACCAAATTCTAGTGCCCCATTGGTTCGCCAAAATTGTGAAGGCCAGGTCCGGTAACTGTGCGGTCACCGTGCGGTAACGGTGTCCCACTCATACGAAATCCGCTCTATCGCCCCTACGCACTTTTCCATCTCTCTATCCTTTCTTATACCTCTGCATGACTACCTCTCAATACTCCAGTTTCGAGATCTTATTTGTGCAGTCTTAACCTCGATAGCATGTGATATATTCTTTTATTCAGCAGACACTCCTATTGTAATGCAAAAACTCTGTGTAAAAAGAAGACAATAAAAAATTATGCTTGATTGAAACTAAGCTTGCACAAAAGAGAATTCGAAACTGGAGTATTTCCTTATTTTTCTCTGTCATTCAGCGTTTTGTTGTTTTTTTCATTCTACATTTTCGTTTGCTGTGAATTGATGTGAATGGTTTTATTTTTCATAGAGTTTAGAAGCCAACGAGCTTGAAGGCATGGTGTTTCACTGTGGAACAAATAATACGATATGGTAAGCTCTGCGCTAAAACACCATTGGGCTTTCACCTCTCGAAAGATGTTACCCAATAGGCTTCAGAAAACACAACACAAATTTAAAATTTAGTTGTGCTTTTAAGAACGACTCAATCAGGCAATTTTTTTCGAGTCAGGTGAAGACACGCCCGTAAAATACTCCCTAAATCAGGTTTCTGGGTTTCCTGTAAATTTACCGACATGCTTTGCAGTTGAGAAAATTGTGTCTTTGCTCATTGTCTTTTCAAAGTTTATAAGCCTAATGCACAAACTGCCTTGTTTAACAGCCCAAGTGGTGACGACTACCTCGCACGACAAGACGTCAAAGCGAGCGATCTTTGGTATGACGAGTTGGCACTCGGAGTCATGACTTGCATTTACTTGCTATTTGCTTACATAGCACTACGTCTTATCAAGAAAGAAAAATAGAAGGACGGGATGAAATACTATTTCCTATTCAATGATTCAACCGGATTGAGCCGATGAATRCTATTTTTTGATCAGTTAAATTGAGAGCACCCGTTAATATATTTTTTAATACAAAAAGCAAATGAGAGATGAAAACTGGAATCAGAGTGTAATTKTTCAGCAAGAAATCGATTAAGACCGATTAACATTGATAAATTGCGAGTGTAATTTCAAAATGGCCGCGTATCACTAGAAGTTGATATAAGCTTTCGAATGAAATARGTGAGCACCCCAAAATTTCTTATTTTAGGATGATTATATTAATAATCCGCCTGCTAACAGAACGTTCTCTTCAATGTTTTCCCTGAAGAGAAAGTAAAGGAAGCTGRTATCAATGGGCAACGAGCAGCGACACCATTTTGTGCAACAAAGCATGATGGGAGCTTCTTCATGCCCCCTAAATCAGTCAGTCCTCTAGTCCTCCTGTGGGTGCTGGTTCTTTCAAGAAAATCGGCTTTTCTTGATTTTTTTTAGGGGGCACCTCGTTAGTCTTTTAGGGGCAATCAAAATAGCAAGGACTACTACTCCCATAATGCGTGGTTGTACAAAATGGCGTCGGTGCACTGCCATGCAAACTATACATGATTATTAGTGTTGATTATTTAATAAAAGCTTCGTATAAAAATACAAGGTGTATAGGTACTGTTTGATGTTTGTTATATTCTTATATTCTGTGTTTCATATTATTATTGCCACGGAGGCTCCAAATATTTAAATTCCTTTTTCTTTTTCGTATGAAACTACACTTATGCGAAGTGAAAATAATCGATCTTATGATTGTAACTGGACGCAACTCTTATTCTAGAACAAGGAAGAGAATTCACACACAATACATTCATACCGAATTCACTATTGCTACTATTTACATTATTTTAAAGGATTGGTGATTTTATAGATTATTCTATTTTAGTCGTGTCATGCTTTTTGAGACCGTGACCTTAAGAAGGTCTTTTCGGTCATGGAAATACTACAGATCTATTTTGGAACAGCTCAGTAGTAAATAGCAATTTTGGATCAGTAATTATAAGTTTGGAGTGAGGTCTCGAAATGAAATATTTGTGTTCTTGCGCTTGCACTGTGGCGCGCARTGGGAACATTCACTTGTGCATTAAAATGTTTAATATCTAAAATTTAAAAATRTTTCGATCCGCTTATTATTTTTGTGTTGTTTATGGAACTTCACGCTGTGTCAGAAAAGGTCCAATGAGAACCCGTT